ATTATTGAGATCTGGGTTTTCTCTTAATTTCAGTGTAAAAAGACATCAAAGACCTCACTAACCATCCAGGTCAAAGATTAGGTAAGAATAAATGGCCCAGAGACTAGCTTGATGTGAGTATATTTACTCCTAGTGATGTTCTCAGTCCATACATTGTCCAAATTATTACTGCTTTTTTTTTTTGAGACAGAGCCTTGCTTTGTCGCCAGGCGCCAGGCTGGAATGCAGTGGTGTGATCTTGGCTCACTGCAACCTCCACTTCCTGGGTTCAAGCAATTCTCCTGCCTCAGCCTCCCAAGTAGCTGTGACTACAGGCACGTGCCACCACACCCACCTAATTTTTGTATTTTTTTAGTAGAACGGGGTTTCACCATGTTGGCCAGGATAGTCTCGATCTCTTGACCTCATGATCCGCCCGCCTCGGCCTCCCAAAGTGCTGGGATTATAGACGTGAGCAACCACACCTGACCTACTGCTTTTTTTTTTTTTAAACAAAGCACTCTGGTACCCCAGAGGGGTTGCAGTGATGCAATCTTGGCTCACTGCAACCTCTGCCTCCCGGGTTCAAGCGATTCTCCTGTCTCACGCTCCCAAATAACTAGGATTACAGGCATGTGCCACAGTGCCTGGCTAATTTTCGTATTTTTGGTAGAGACAGAGTTTCATCATGTTGGCCAGTCTGGTCTTGAACTCCTGGCTTCAAGTGATCCACCCGCCTTGACCTCTCAAAGTGCTGGGACTACAGGTGTGAGCCACTACACCCGGCATTACTGCATTATTAATAGAACTGGAGAACTAAGGTACCAGTGGAGGGACTCTCAGGAAAAAGGCTTAAAGGATGGTAGAGATCATTTCTTCCTCTACAGGCAAGGAGTCTTTGCTTTAATCAGAACATCTGAGATGTTCTCACAGATATATTCCACCCCTTCTGGTTCGTGGGGTCTATGGCTCTGACCAGCCTGAAGAGGCCATTCACCTTTAAAGCATGAAAATCTCGGCTTTCCTCTAAGTCCACCTTGACCTCGTCTCTGCTAGCCTGACAACTGTGCTTTTTATTGGAGTCATTCAAGTGCACCAGTAGTTTTTTACAGTCCAATATTAGAGGAAAGTACACTCAAAAAACTTTTTTTAGTAGAGAGATGTGGATTCTACTGTGTTGCCCAGGCTGGTCGTGAACTCCTGGCCTCAAGTGATCCTTCAGCCTCGGCCTCCCAAGGTGCTGGGATTATAGGAGTGAGCCACTATTCCTGGCCAAAAGTACATATTTTAATGTTTTAACCTACATTATTATTTCAAAAAATAAAATATTATGCTTTCTATGGCATTTCTGTGACAGAAAAAAAGGGGGACGTTGTTTGTAGTTTTGGGTCACAAGCAGGAGGGGAGGGAGGGAGGGAGGGAGTTTCTCTCACCCCAGGCATTGAGTCTTAGCAGGCCTAGAATTACCTGGGAATTGGGGAGCAGAGGGGACCATTTGGAAAAAGCAAATGGTTCAACCAGCATCCTGGCCTGGCCATCCAGAAAACTCTGCTGTAGCTGCCTAAGGGACCACAGGGAACTTCTCAGATGCCACCCTCCTATTATTTAGACCCTTTCCCCTTCCCAAACCACAGTAGTTACAGCACATCACACAAAGGGCCAGCCACTGTTGTGCCCTGAGAAGGAAGGTTGTAGAACAAGAGGTGTACCAATTAAGTTTTTGTTTCATAGAGACTTGGACTCTTTTTTTTTTTTTTTTTTGAGATGGAATCTCACTCTGTTGCCCAGGCTGAAGTGCAGTGGCATGATCTTGGCTCACTGCAACTTCCGCCTCCTGGGTTCAAGCAATTCTCCTGCTTCAGCCTCCCAAGTAGCTGGGATTACAGGCACCCGCCACCTTGCCCTGGCTAATTTTTTGTATATTTAGCAGAGACAGGGTTTTGCCCTGTTGGCCAGCCTGGTCTTGAACTCCTGACCTCAGGTGATCCTCCCGCCTTGGCCTCCCAAGGTGCTGGGATTACAGACGTGGTCCACCGCGCCGGCCGGGACTTGGACTCTTATCTTACATTCAGCTTGGCAAGGTTGAAAGCATAAAGAGACCTCTTCTCTCTTCCGAGAGCCAGTGACTCTTGCAACCTCATTGACTGACTGAGGGTGGTTCTAGATCTGGTAGAATAACAGTTAACACTGAGGTGGAGCCTGCTGGGTGCAGGGCACTGTTTCAAGTGCATTGTGTGTATTAATTCAGTAAGTCCGCAAAACCTCCCTGTGGGGTACTCCTGTTACCCCATTTTACAGAGCAGGAAACAGAGGCACTGAGAAGAAAAGAACTTCCTTAAGACTCATACCCAGGCAGACAGTGTACCTCCAGAGTCCAAGCTTGCAGCCAGGAGTCTCAGTCTCAGCCAGATAGTAAATATTGTAGTCTCTGTGGGCCATACAGTCTCTGCTATGGTGGTGTAAAAACATCCATAGACAACACTGAAGTGAATGAACATAGATGTGTTCCAATAAAACTTTATTTACAAAAAACAGGCAATGGGCAGGATTTGGCCCATGGGCCTTAGTTTGCATACTATAGCTCTTAACCACTACATAGTACTACGCTGCAGGTACATAAAACTCAGTCATTTACATAAAACTCTCTATTTATATTTCCTCAGACCACCTCAGGCCCCATGACATTCCATTCAACAATTATCATTATATGGAATCTATAGTTTACAACACATCTGCTCTTCACAGCACTTTTGTGAGGCAGGGTTAATCAGTGTCCCGGTTTTAGAGAAGAGCTAAACAAGGCTTTAAAGACAAAGTTACCTGCCCAGAGTCTCAAATTACAAAGTTCTTTGGCACATTCTACATTTGAAGTCTAACTCAATAAAAGCCCATCTAGCCTGACACTGACATTTACTTTTTTTTTCTAAAATTTGTCCTTTTTATAAATATATTCTGGGCTGTGCTTTCTGGTTGGGGAAGCAAACAAGAAGCACCCTAGTTGCTTCTTCTGGACCTTCTAGAATCTTCTATTTTGACCTTCTAGGACGTTCTAGATGAAAAATGTTCTTACACCAGGCCAAGTCTCTGAAAGCCGTAGGGGATGGGTACAGCCTAAGTTTAACTGCTGACACTGCTTGCTGCTTCTCATTCTAAGAACCGGGCAGGATGGGTCAAATGCAGCATCTGTGCACCAATGTAGGGCCTTGGAATATGAGCCATGACATCACACTAACAATTATTTAGAGCTTACAGCATGCTAGGTGCTGTGCTAAGTATTTATATAATCGTATTTAACCTTTAGAAGAACTCTTCAGGTAGGCAGGCCTCATTATTCCTATATTACAGATGAAAAAACAGGTACAGAGAGCAAAATAATGTGTGCTATAAGGACTGAGTGTCCTGTGTCCCTGACTTTTTTTTGAGATAGAGTTTTGCTCTTGTGGCCCAGGCTGAAGTGCAATGGCGAGATCTTGGCTCACCCCAACTTCCGCCTCCCAGGTTCAAGCGATTCTTTTACCTTAGCCTCCCAAGTAGCTGAGATTACAGGCATGCACCACCACGCCTGGCTACTTTTTTGTATTTTTAGTAGAGACAGGGTTTCTCCATGTTGGTCAGGCTAGTCTTGAACTCCTGACCTCAGGTGATCTGCCCCCCTTGGCCTCCCAAAGTGCTGGGAGTACAGGCATGAGCCACTGCACCCACCCAACCTTTCTTTGATTATTGTTTTATTTTGATCAAAAACACAACTTAAAATTTCCCATCTTAACCATGTTTAGGTGCATCGTTCAGTCATGGTAGCTGTATGCACACTGTTGTGCAAAAGAGCTCTAGAACATTTTCATCTTGCAAATGGAAACTTTGTTCATTGAACGACAACTCCCCTTGTCTCTGATGTATTAAAGGAGAACTTAGTCAGATGTTCATACGCAGGGCATAGTGCCAATCCAGGGCAATAACAGAGACACTTCCAGTCAAAACAATCTCTTTCTCATTCCCGTGCTACGTCTGAGGCATGTGAATACAGGAGTAAAGAAAAAGAAAGGCAGTCTCTCGGGGAGGACTTGGCTCTTAGGTCTCTCTGACCAGGGCTTTCCATCCTTCCCACTGCTCATCTCTGGTGACATTGCGTAAGCCTGTATGACTCCCAGAAGGTAACCACAGCGTGGTACAAGGTAATATCTCACTATCCCACCACAATGTTTTCCACAGTTTATTTTGAATTTTTGGGGAAAGGGTCTTGCTATGCTGCCCAGGCTGGTCTTGAACTCCTGGCCTCAAGCCATCTGCCCACCTCAGCCTCTTGAGTTGCCAGGACTACAGGCATACCCCACCACACAGGGCCCTGTTTTCCACCGTTATTGTGCAAGAGCATAGCCTTACTTAACCTTCAAAAATTTCTACTGAGAAATGATCATTACTTGTGTCACTGAGGGCTAGAGAAACATCAGTCAGATGGAACTCACAGTGGCTACCGCTCGTGATCCAGAGGCCTGATGCCTGATGGACACAGCACTCAGTTGCTGCTGTTGTGCTGGGCTCACTGATCCCGCTGTCAGAATTAAACGTAGGGAAGCTTTTGCCAAAGGTCTCTTGCCCAGCTCCTAGATGCCGAAACATCCTTCCTGTTTACTGACTCCACAGTAGGTTATAGCTGTGTTTTCTTTTTCTTTCTTTTTTTTTTTTTTTTAAGATGGAGTCTCACTCTGTCACCCAGGCTAGAGTGCAGTGGTGCGATCTCAGCTCACTGTAACCTCTGCTTCCTGGGTTCAAGCAATTCTCTGCCTCAGACTCCCAAGTAGCTGGGATTACAGGTGCGCACCACATCCGGCTAATTTTTGTATTTTTAGTAGAGATGCAGTGTCACCATCTTGGCCAGGCTGGTCTCGAACTCCTGACCTCATGATCCACCCCTCTCGGCCTCCCAGAGTGCTGGGATTACAGGCATGAGCCACCGCGCCCAGTCAGATGACAGCTGCGTTTTCCAGCTTAAACTACAGTCGTATTTGTTTTGTTTCTATCAGAACGTGAAAAAGACAGACTGGTTCCAGGAGTGGCCAGATTCCTACGCCAAACACATCTATAGCTCGGAGGACAAGAATGCACAGCGGCACCTGAGCAGCTGGGCCATGCGCAACACCAACAACCACAACTCCCGCATCCTCAAGAAGTCCTGCCTTGGTGTGGTGGTGTGTGGCCGCGACTGCCTTGCAGAGGAGGGGCGCAAGATCTACCTGAGACCTGCTATCTGTGACAAGGCCCGGCAGAAGCAGCAGAGTGAGTAGAGCTTGGTAGCACCAGCAAAAAGCTGGCATCCATCAGATGCCCCTGCCAGATGGGTCACTGTATCCCAGCACTGCCCCGGGATGCAATGCTCACCCTGGAGTGTAGTGGAGGCCAAGGCTGTTCTGACGTGGAGCAAATGGAGGGGAACCAACCAGACCTCTTGTGTCCCAGCAGGGACCTCACGTATTTGCTATACCCAGAGTGCCCACCACCAAAAGGGTTAGGACACCAGACTCAAGGCTCCTGTTAAAGGGAAGATGGTAGGTGTGGTGACTCACACCTGTAATCTCAGCACTTTGGGAGGCCAAGATAGAGGATTGCTTGAGCCCCAGATGTTCCAGACCAGCCTGGGAAACATAAAGAGACTCCCATCCCTACAAAAAATTTAAAAATTATTTGGCTGTGGTTGCATGTGCCTGTGGTTGCAGCTACTCCAGAGGCTGAGGCAGGAGGAGTGGTAGAGCCTGGAAAGTCAAGGCTGCAGTGAGCCATAAGGAAGCCACTGCACTCCAGCAAGAGTGAGATCCTGACTCCAAAATAAAGGAAAAACGGCTGGGCGTGGTGGCTTATGCTTATAATCCCAGCACTTTGGGAGGCCAAGGTGGGAGGATCACCTGAGGTCAGGAGTTTGAAACCAGCCTGGCCAACATGGTGAAACCCCATCTCTACTTTAAAACACACACACACACACACACACACACACACACACACACACACACACACACACACACACACACATCAGCTGGGTGTGGGGGCGCGCACCTTATTCCCAGCTACTCAGGAGGCTGAGGCAAGAGAATCCCTTGAACCCGGAAGGTGGAGGTTGCAGTGAGCTGAGATTGCACCACTGTATTCCAGCCTGGGTGACAGAGCAAGACTCTGTCTCCAAACAACAAAAAAAAAGAAAAATGTATCACTTAAGGTGGTAATGTTAATTCATCAATGACCGATGTAAAATTTAGAAGAAAGTAGTTTATTGGACTTGCCACTGGACCTCTTATGGGTCCCTGAGTGATCTCAATGTGTGCATTAATGTGGATGGCAGCTGTGAGACCAAATGAGAGGTTAGACTCAATTCCATTTATTTAGGCTTACATCATAGTCACATGCTGAGATATTTGTTCGTTTTTAAAAACAAATTCACTGGATTATGAAATAGATACATTCAGCATGCCCTGTACCTTGCCCACATCAAACCTCAAGTTACTTTATATTTTTCCCAGTAGTTTGTCTTCAAACTTGCTCAGTCAGGACCTGGTATCAGTCATTTATACCTCTGTGAAAATTTAGTAGCTGCATTCACTCTCCCATGTGGCTTGGCTCCTTAACCCTTAAACCCTGGCCTCTTGACCCTTAGACCTTTAGTTCTCATTAGGAGGTGAAAGAATTTCTCTCTTTTTTTTTTTTTTTGTGTTTTTTGTTTTTTAGACAGAGTCTTGCTCTGTCACCCAGGCTGAAGTACATTGGTGCGATCTCGGCTCACTGCAACCTCCACCTCCCAGGTTCAAGTGATTCTCCTGCCCCAGCCTCTTGAGTAGCTGGGACTACAGGCACCCGCCACCATGCCCGCTAATTTTTGTATTTTTAGTAGAGATGGGGTTTCACTATGTTGACCAGGCTGGTCTCAAGCTTCCAGCCTCAAGTGGATCCACCTGCCTTGGCGTCCCAAAGTGCAGGGATTATGGGTGTGAGCCAACATGCCAGCCAGAATTTCAAATATCACTAAATAAGTAGGGAGAGGTTTTTGAGCAGAAGAGCTCTTCCCTGACCTGTGAAATACCCGACTTGGTAGGCAACCACTTCCCCTATCCATGTGTGAGAGCCATCTGGGCCATTTTGGAGTCCAGGCTTCCTAGGGTCAGGGGTAATATCTAGTGAATGGAAGCCCATAAAACTCTGCCCAGATTTATCTTCTGCCATCCTAGAGTCAGGCCTAAAATCTTTAGGGCTGCACAGGAGTCAACTGACATGGTTCAGCCAGGTGTGGTCATTTTCCTCTGCTCTTTTGTAGGGAAACGCTGTCCCAACTGTGACGGGCCTCTGAAGCTCATCCCGTGCCGAGGTCATGGGGGCTTCCCGGTCACCAACTTCTGGAGACACGATGGACGCTTTATATTTTTCCAGGTTGGATTTTTGAGTTAGTTATGGGAGTTTCATTACTGAGGAGTTTCATTAGAGGCTAGAGATGCGCAGATGAATGAGATCCTGCACCAAGCCTGAGGGCTCTCACTCTGAGACAGCAAGTGTCTGTCCCCCGCACTTCTAATAGATGTTTGAAGTGCTGGGGAGCTCTAGAAGGGGAGATGGCTATCTCTGTCTGCACTCCTCAGGAGAAGTGGCAGCTAATCTAGTCACACTGAGGTTAGCACAGTGCTTCTAAGCATGCTGCTTGCCACTGGTAGCCTTCAGCAAACCTGAGTTCTAATACCAGCTCTGACTTTTCACTCGCTCTGTAAACCTGACTGAGCAGGTGACTTTCTTCCTCCAAGTCCCAGGTTTCTGTAGAATGTGTAAGGAGTACTAATGGGGCAGGGGCATCAACAGTGGTGAAGAATGGACCCTGACTCAGACTGCCCGTGTTTGAATTAGTGGGATGCTGGTAAACCAGCTCTCCAGAAAAGAAAATGTCCTGATTTGTAGCATTTGCCAACTTCTGTAATGGAAATATTCCAACCATGGCTGATTTCAAGCCAGCAGTCCTTTTTAAAAATCAGCCTACAAAATTCCTGAATGTTTAACTATTGACTCTCAGGTTGGCCAGCTCCAGGGAGGGAAATCCTAGTTCCCTCACCTCTGGAGGAGGTTATCCAGGGGGCATAATCGTTCCATGCCTCAGTTTCCTGTTCTGTAAATCGGGAGTGATAATGATAATATGTACCTCAAGGGTTGTGCTGAGCATGAAATGAGATACAAGGCACACAGTGTTTATATCAATGTCCTGTCCATACTACAGGAAGCATTCAATAAGTGTTACATATCACTGTGATTATGGCTTCGCTGGGTGGGTGAGAGGCAGGCAGGCAGTAACACGGTGGGCTTGGAAGCTTCTTCAGAGGTTCATCGAGTCCTGTTACAATAGGCAACTGCCATACCACCCAGGAGGAGGACACACAGTGAAAATGGACGCACCATGAAGCACAGTCTAGTCAGTGTTACCTCGTTTCCTTTTTACTTCCCTGTCTCCTTTCAGTCAAAGGGAGAGCATGATCATCCAAAACCAGAAACCAAGTTGGAAGCCGAGGCAAGAAGAGCCATGAAGAAAGTGCACACAACACCTTCCTCCGTCTCCTTGAGCCTGAAGGGGAGCACAGAGACCAGGGTAACCCTTCATCATGTATGTTCAACACATGTAGTAGCTTGCCATGCCTATGCTGGGGGCAGTAGATTTCCCGGGTGCCTAGCTGACACAGGAAAGCCAGAAATCACGGATTATCAGGCACCTGCATTTCACCACCCGCCTCCACCCACCCCCACCCACCCCTACCTGCCTCCACCCCCCCACCCACCCCCACCTACCCCCACCCACCTCCACCCACCTCCACCCACCTCCCGGATTTCCATACATCCTCAAACAGATTGTTTTCTTAGCACACTCTACCAAGATGAAATAAGCAAGCAGTTTCTGAAAATGATGGCTATCCCAGGGTGGCAATGGTGGAGTGGAGGCTACTCCCCACAGACAAACTGTGACACAAAGGCCACGGCTTTATGGGCAGCAGATCATAGGTTTTTGCATTTGTCTGCTTAATATGGTTAGTAATTCCTATACTTTTTCTACTGTTCAAAGTTGCACATTTCTTTCTGGGAGAACAGAGATGGAGCTGGTCTATTCCCAGAGACTCTAAATGTACTTTATAAAGGAAAATTGTAATTGGGTCTGTTGTAGGGAAATGTGAGTCCCCCAAACCCAAATGGCTGTTCCCTTATCCTTTCTCCCAGCCATAGGACAAGTCAAGGGGCATCTCAGTCCCTCATCCACTCTACCTGGTCACAGCCCTTTTTCTCTAGCCCCTGAAACTATCTCCTTGATAGGTAGTAGTGTTACCTAAACAAGAGCATAATTTAATTCTCAACCAGATTCTTTTCTTAATGATTAACTGAAGAACAATATACTTCCCCCATTTAGAAAAATCTACCACTTGTATTCTAGAGGTCTGAATAATGGTTCAACAAAATCCCCATGAATTCAGAGAAAAATCTCTTGAGGAAAGGAAAAACAGCAGCAGCAACTATGGTTTCTCACACTCCAACCAGCACTGAGAAATAGAAAAGTCAAGGGTGGAAATGATGAGGGCGAGAGACCCCTGAGATCTGTACTGAGTATAATATAAATCTTTGTAGTTATACTTTGATTTTTTGTAAATAGCTCCTTGTAAGTTTCTCAAAAAGGCAATTAGGGGGCCAGGCACTGTGACTTAATTCCAGCACTTTGGGAGGCCAAGACAGGTGGGCCACTTGAGGTCAGGAGTTCAAGACCAGCCTGAACATGGCAAAACCCCATCTCTACTAAAAATATAAAAATTAGCCGGGCATGGTTGCACACGCCTGTAATCCCAGCTATTGGGAGGCTAAGACACGAGAATCGCTTGAACACAGGAGGTGGAGGTTGCAGTGAGCCGAAGTCGTGCCACGGCACTCCAGCCTGACTGGGCAACAAAGCGAGACTCCATCTCAAAAAAAAAAAAAAAAGGCAATTAGGATATCAGATTTGTGTTTTGTGTTTGAGTGTGAAACATCTTAAATACACTCATGTCTCTACAGAGGGTAGGGAAATTCAGCTCTTAACTGGTTAGTAGGCTTTAACATGGAAACAGAGGCAGCCTTTGCTTTTTTCTTTTTTGTTTTTTGAGATGGAGTTTCACTCTGTTGCCCAGGCGGAGTGCAATGGTACGATCTTGGCTCACCACAACCTCCATCTCCCGGGTTCAAGTGATTCTCCTGCCTCAGCCTCCCAAACAGCTGGGATTACAGGCATGCACCACCATGCCCGGCTAATTTTGTATTTTTAGCAGAGAAAGGGTTTCTCCATGTTGGTCAGGCTAGTCTTGAACTCCCAACCTCAGGCGATTCGCCCACCTTGTCCTCCCAAAGTGCTGGGATTTGTCAGGCATGAGCCACCGCGCCTGGCTGCCTTTGCTTTTTTCAAGCGTTTCATGGTTGTGGTCAAGCTGCTGCATGTTTGTACGTCAAGTATTAATATGTAAGGAATGAGGAAAGTCTGACGGAGCTCTTATTTGTGCAGAGTAACTCATGGATGCCTATGGTAGTGGTTTTGATTTGCTTAACTTATTAACAGGAGCATTTCACTTTCCTTTCCAGTCTCTTCCAGGTGAAACCCAAAGTCAGGGGAGTTTACCTTTGACTTGGTCTTTCCAGGAAGGTGTCCAATTGCCTGGTAGTTACAGTGGACATTTAATAGCTAACACTCCTCAACAGAACTCACTAAATGATTGCTTTTCCTTCTCCAAGAGTTATGGTCTGGGAGGAATCACAGATCTGACTGACCAGACTTCCCCTGTGGACCCCACGAAGCTCTATGAAAAGCGCAAATTGTCTAGTAGCAGAACCTACGGTAGTGGAGACCTGCTTCCTCCTTCTGCCTCCGGAGTCTACTCTGATCATGGCGATCTGCAAACGTGGAGTAAAAACGCTGCTTTGGGGAGAAATCCTCTTAATGACAACTGTTATTCCAATTATCCTTTTTCTCTGACCAGCTGGTCTTGCAACTTCTCTTCTTCCCAAAACTCTTCAGAACCCTTTTACCAGCAGATTCCATTGGAGCCATCTGCAGCCAAAACTGGCTGTCCGCCATTATGGCCAAATCCAGGGGGTAATCTTTATGAAGAGAAGGTACATGTGGATTTTAACAGCTACGTCCAGTCCCCTGCGTACCATTCACCTCCGGAAGACCCCTTTCTCTTCACCTACACCTCTCATCCTCACCAGCAATATTCACTGCCAAGCAAGAGCAGCAAATGGGATTTTGAGGAAGAAATGACATACTTGGGTTTGGAACACTGCAACAATGAGATGCTTCTGAACCTGTGTCCTTTAAGATGACTCAACTCTTGCTAGGTGCGCCCTCGACCCTCAAAAATGGGGAAGGGCTGAAAGAATTTCCTTAGGAAATAATTTTAAAAACATAACCACAGATAAATGAGAATCATGATAAGCAGTAGACAAGGCTTTTTTTTTTTCTTTTTTTTGGAGATAGAGCCTCTGTCACCCAGGCTGGAACGCAGTGGCACAATCTTGGCTCACTGCAACCTTTGCCTCCTGGGTTCGAGCGATTCTCCAGCCTCAGCCTCTCGAGTAGCTGGGATTACAAGCACCTGCCACTGTGCCCAGCTAATTTTTCTATTTTTTGTAAAGACAGGGTTTTGCCATGTTGGCCAGGCTGGTCTCAAACTCCTGACCTCAAGGGATCCGCCTGCCTCAGCCACCCAAAGTGCTGGGATTACAGGCGTGAGCCACCGCACCCAGCTGACAAGAATTTTTTCTTAACATGAGTAATCCTTTGGCTCCTTCTCCTTCACTCTAGTACTTCCATCCTTGGTAAGGAATGGAAACCTGTCCCGTCTAGGATGTGAAATGCCCTCTGCTTTTTCCCCGACATTATTTGGGGTTCCCAGCAGCACCTCATTTGCATTGCATGCTGGGTTTTCATTGTCACTGTTGCAAATCGAGTAGAGCCGACATGTGAAATGCCCACCAACCTAGGATCTGTTCTATGCCTTCTTGAGAACTGAGAATGAAGAAACGGAAATGGATGGTGGAAGAACTGCCTAAGGTGTGAAAAGCTGAAGATTCCACCACTGAAGTACTGAATATTTTGTCTAGTTTGAGACTAGTGTATAAAATACATGTTTTCTAGATGATTTCTAAGACTTGTGAAGACAAGGAACGCAACGTCACCCCATTTTTCATAAAGACAAAGAACAGCAATGTTAAATTGCCATATGAAGAGAAATACTAGTGATGATCGTGGTCTCCTTGCCTCCCGTTTCCTTCCCTCTTCCTCACTGACTTCCCCTTGCACAGGGGCTTTTGTTTTGTTCCATTTATTCTTTATGGCACCTATATCAATGTGGGATTTGTAATAGGTGAGAAATGTTTGCTTAGAGAAGTTTTTGTGCAATTAGCCTGGCAATGATTGGCCGGCCATGTTTGAATGCCAGTTTTTCCTCTTTGCTGAAGTACTTTATAATAAATGTAAGCCTAGACATAAAATCTGGAGAGAACCATGCAATAAACAAATATTTTCAAAGTAAATGATCCCTTCTCCTTTATTAAAGTATTAACAGATGCACATGATAGAAAATTCAAAAGTGAAAAAAGAAGTCTATTTCTAGTCTCCTATCTGTGACACTGACCAGTTTCTTGTCTATTATTCTAGATATTAGCGAAGTTCTCTGCATATATAATTGTATATAATATGTATGAAATATATTACATAAAATAGATACACACTTTTTTTTTGAGATAGAGATTTGCTCTTGTTGCCCAGGCTAGAGTGCAATGGCTCAATCTTGGCTCACTGCAACCTCTGCCTCCCGAATTAAACGATCCTCCTGCCTCAGCCTCCTGAGTAGCTGGGATTATAGAGGCATGCACCACCATGCCCAGCTAATTTTGTATTTTTAGAAGAGACAAGGTTTCTCCATGTGGGTCAGGCTGGCCTCAAACTCCCGACCTCAGGTGATCCACCTGCCTCAGCCTCCCAAAGTGCTGGGATTACAGGCGTGAGCTACCATGCCTAGCCCACACACATATTTTATATATATGTATTTGTGTCTATATATATATATATATATGCATATATGTAGAGAGAAAGATGACATACATGATATCATCAGATTCATGATTCGTTTTTAACATGGAATTTTGTCATTTTCGGATCCAATTTGAGCATTAGGTTCTTATAAGCATATAGGATCACAGCTGTTTCATTTTTAATGGTGCATTATGCATTAAATGACAATTATAATTAAATAGTCCCTATTGATAAACATTTTGATTTGTTCAGAAAACATATTGGCCAGGCATGGACGCTCACACGTGTAATCCCAGCACTTTGGGAGGCCGAGGTGGGCGTATCGCTTAAGCCTGAGCAACATAGCGGGACCCCGTCTCTACAAAAAATTAAAAATTAGCTGGGTGTCATTATGCATACCTGTAGTCTCAGCTACTTGGGAGGCAGGAGGATCACTTGAGTTAGGGAAGTTGATGCTTATCAAATCACTGAGCCATGATTGTGCCACTGCACTCCAGCCTGGATGACAGTCTCAATCAATCGATAAAAACCTTATATATTCAGTTTAGCAGAATTCTAAAGCACATACTTGAGTAAACATCATCTGGACCAAGAAATAGGACCTACTGGCATTGCAGAAGGCCCCCTGATTGTGGATTTCAATCCCACCCACTGTTAGTTTTATACATCTATTGTTTTCTGACCATAGATTAGGATTTAGGACATAGCACCACTCCTCGCACGCATTCTTCCAGCAATTTACAAAGATCAGATGTATTGAAGTACGGTTTACATACGATAAAACTCAAACCATTTTACAGAGTTTTGAACAATGTACATGTGGTCATTGTACACAATGAAGCCTCACCAAAATCAAGATATAGAACATGGCAGTTCCCCTGAAAAGTCCTGTTGTGCCTTTTCCAGTCCATTTCCTCTGGGATCCCCAGCCCCCAGCAACTCCTGGAGGCTTTTATCTCTGGACAAGTGTGGGCAGGCTCCTGTCTGGTCCTGCTGCTCCTTTATCTTTGGGCTTACATTCCTCTCCTCTCGACTGAGTTTGTGTCTTTCCCATTTTTGGTGTATTCCACCGTTTTGATAGAGCACACTCACTCTCCACTAGTTCTCTGAGAAAAGATTTTTGGAGCCCTTGAATGTCTGGGAATGTCTTAATCATATACTTGGTTTTGGTTTTTGTTTTTTAACTTGGCACAGAGTTTACCTGAGACTAGAAGTCTAGGTTAAAAGTAATTTGCATTCAAAATGGCCTGGGGTGGTGGCTCATGCCTATAATCCCAGCACTTTGGGAGGCCAAGGCAGGCGGATCACCTGAAGTTAGGAGTTCAAGACCAGCCTGGTCAACATGGTGAAACCCCGCCTCTACTAAAAAGGCAAAAAATTAGCTGGGTGTAGTGGTGCACGCCTGTAGGACCAGCTACCGGGGAGGCTGAGGCAGGAGAATCTCTCAACCCAGGAGGCGGAGGTTGCAGTGAGCCAAGATTGCTCCATTGCACTCCAGCCTGGGTGACAATGGCAAAACTTTGTCTCAAAAAAAAAAAAATCATTCAAAAATCTAAAGTTACTGCTCCACTGTCCTCTAGCCTTCAGAGCTGCTGTTGAGAAGTCTGGATGTCATTTAGATTTCTGGTCCTTTTAATGTGGCCTGCTTTTTATCTCTAGGAGCTTTTAGATAGTTTTGTTATGTCTTGTTGTTTGAAATCTCATGACAATAAGCCTTGGGATGGGCCTTTTCATTTCTTATTCCTTGTATAAGGCCTTGAGGCTTTTAATATAATAATTCATACTTTTTAGTTCTTAGATATGTTCTTATATTTTTCAAAAATATTTTTTTCTTTCTTTTTTCTCATTGTCTTTTTGGAACTTTTTTTAGATGGGTATTGTATTAAACAAATTTTCGTGGAGCACCTAAGAATGCCCTCATCCTGGGCACTGTGGTTGTGTGGGCTGCTCTACCAGGCAAAATTGCATCTGCTCTGTTCAGTGAGCATTGAAATTCAAGTCTGTTAAAATTAAGATAAAATACAAATAGAAAAATATAAAAGAGGCCGAGCATGGTGGCTCATGCCTGTGAGCCAGCACTTTGGGAGGCCGAGGCGGGTGAATCACCTGAGCTCAGGGGTTTGAGACCAGCCTGGTTGACATGGTAAAATCCCATCTCTTCTAAAAATACAAAAATTAGCCAGGCGTGGTGGCTCATGCCTGTAATCCCGACTACTTGGGAGGGTGAGGCAGGAGAATTGATCAAACCCAGTAGGTGGAGACTGTAGAGAGCTGAGATCGTCCCACTGCACTCCAGCCTGGGCAAGAGTGAGACTCTGTCTCAAAAAAAAAAACAAAAGAAAAGAATATGAAAGGCAAATAAAATGGGAACACGGATATTATTACAGCACTAAAATGTGTTACATTTGATGCTGTCTTGATTTGTATGTGTAAATCATCTCCTGTTTAGTACCTGGCTCAATGCCAGGCTCCTAGAGAGGCTCAGTGTGCATAACTGTCTCAGAATGGCCCAGATGTAAAGAAGTATCAAAGGCCAATCAAGAGCAACTGTTGGGCCAGGTGCAGTGGCTCATGCCTGTGATTCCAGCACTTTGGGAATCCGAGGCAGGCAGATCACTGGAGGTCAGTAGTTCGAGACCAACCTGGCCAAGATGGGGAAGCCCCATCTCTACTAAAAATACAAAAATTAGCCGGGAGTGGTGGTGTGCACCTGAAGTCCCAACTATTTGGGAGGCTGAGGAAGGAGAATAGTTTGAACCCAGGAGGTGGAGGTTGCAGTGAGCTGAGATCATGCCGCTGCACTCCAGCCTGGGTGACAGAGCAAGACTCCATTTCAAAAAAAAAAAAAACACAAAACACACAACAAAACAACAACAAAAACCCACTGTTGTAACTACTATTCTGATCTTTTTTAATAAAAATGTAGTATAAAGGCCGGGCGTGGTGGCTCAAGCCTGTAATCCCAGCACTTTGGGAGGCCGAGGCGGGTGGATCACGAGGTCAAGAGATCGAGACCATCCTGGTCAACACGGTGAAACCCCGTCTCTACTAAAAACTACAAAAAATTAGCTGGGCATGGTGGCGCATGCCTATAATCCCAGCTACTCAGGAGGCTGAGGCAGGAGAATTGCCTGAACCCGGGAGGCGGAGGTTGTGGTGAGCCGAGATCGCGCCATTGCACTCCAGCCTGGGTAACAAGAGCAAAACTCCGTCTCAAAAAAAAAAAAAAAAAAAAATGTAGTATAAATAAGACATCCAAAGTAGGGACTTGTTTCACTGCCTATTTAGTATAAAAAGTCATTTATTACGTAGCTTATGATGGCAGACCAAATGTATGCCTTTGCTGGAGAGCTTAAATGTCAGTAATGAAGTATAAGAAAAAATGAGCCAAGAGAACATAATAACTGCATCAGAAACGTCAACAAATTTCTGGGAGATGAGAAGTGGATGAAGTATATATTGACCTTTAATGAGGAGTCACAAAGAAGTGAAATGGAAAGGCAGGACCCTGGAAAGGCTGTGGGCTGATGTCAATGAGCTGAAGGGTAGGAACGAGAAGAGAGGGTCACCAGAAACAGGACCAATACTAAAAAGTCTTTCTGCAGATCAACTGCTACTAGTTAGGACTTCACCCAAACATGCATCCCAGGGAATAAAACAGTCAAAAAATAATAAAAATAAAAGTAAGACTTGTGTCAAGAGGAGTTGAATGAACTATTCTAGGGGAACTGAGGCTTCTCCTGGGGTACTTGTTCCCTAGAATAAGTACTTTTTGTTGTTGCGTTTTGGAGGTGAAGATCTAAAGGCACCATGAAGCGAAGCCTGTCTGACATTTGATCCTGATGCTGTAAACTTTAGAACCACAGGTAAGAAAAGTTGGCCCTTGCTGCTGTGTAGCCGTGTCCTCAGCTATTTGTGTAGACACAATAATCGGGTTCCAACTTTTTAATTTAACTGCAGATGAAATACAGAAGGCCCCATAATAGTTCCAGCACAGAATGTCAGTGTGGTAAAGGCGTAGTTGACAGAGGTAAAAGAGGAAAAAAGTGGAAGAGGATTTGGGTAGGGTCAACACATCTTTGTGTGAGAGGGAATCAAGAGCGCTGACTAAGGATAGAATAATATGCAGTTGTTTAATGTTACTTTAAGTTGCAAATATATGCAGCAGAGGCATGGAGAATAATCGTATAACAGCATACGACTGCAAAAAGTCAAGAAGAAGGTAGAGGCAGGGAAAGGAGTAACAACGCAAGTGAGTTAAAGCCTCATTTTTCATTCTGGGCATTCAATAGAGATCTAGATTTGATAAGAAATTGAGGAATAAGCATGTGATTTAGAATGATCAGAGTTGCGTCAGAAAACCAGTTAGAAAAGGTTTAAATTTGCTGTGTCTTGGGGAGCATTGAGTGGGCAGTACTTTTGGTATAAACGCTGTACTGTTGTATTTTTTTTTTTTTTACCATGTACAATGTTTTCTGTTGAAAAATTTAACAAAAAT